TCCTGCTGAGTCTCCTCCTCCTTCCGTCCCCTTGACATGCAAAATACACATCCAGTGAATACCTACACAATGAGAGTTCAGTACTTTGTTACTGAAACTGCCTGTATGCCCATTCTGTAACTCTTGTGTAGGATTCCATTGTTTTGGTTACTGCTGAGCTTGACATTATGTGAATTGCACCTGCAATATGGCCCGGTCTGGGGTTGTACAATGCAATAATAACTTGAAGCTACCAGGAGTTCAACAGAGTAAAGGTTTCAGGATATGCTTTCTGCAAAGGAAATCGCTTTTTAAGTTATATTTTATTTCTTAATGTTAATATTTTCATCTGTAAATGTTGTGCTCCTATATGAAAATTAAGTGCCATATACTAATTTTCCATAAAGTATGTGTTTTCTCTTTGATGGTCTTCAGCCTGACTTCTGAAATCACTTCTTTACAGTTAAATGCTGTTGATATTTGATTTCGATGGAGTTCTTTCTGATCAGCATCAACATTCTAGCACTTTATGTATTTTCCCAGCCTAGAGATCTGTCAGTTCCCACTTCTTTACTATTAGGAAATGAAAATTGAATAAGAAGGTTCTGTGATGGTATTAAAAAAGGAAAACAAAAATTAAAAAGAATGATAAAATATGTCCCTCATAATTCACTGCTGACACTTCACTTCTGATTTCGTTTGTTTAGGTACTTCCCATCAAGGTGGCTATTCCCATGATGCTGTGGTCCATGCATTACAAAAATGTGGCATTCGTCATATTGACACGGCAAAAAGATACGGCTGTGAATCTCTCCTCCAAAAAGCCATCAAAGAGAGTGGTGTGAAGCGGGAGGACCTCTGGATAACCACCAAACTGTGGCATAGTGATTATGGCTATGAAAACACGAAAAAAGCCTGCTTGGAGTCATGTGAAAGACTTGGTGTTGAGTATCTTGGTATGAATCTTTACATATAGCTTATTTATTGCACCTTCCATGTGAGTATTTGCAAAGATGAATGAATTCCTGAAAAAACTTCTGTAGTACAGATATATTATAGAAACCAAATTCTGCCTTTATTTACACATTTGCAGATTTGTTGTTTTGTTAGTTCTCTAGGAAGTTCACATGCATATAATTGAGAGCGCAGAATTTTTCTTTGTTGCAAATGTTTTAAAACAGACCAAGGTATGTTTTGTAAAGGTATGTTTCATTGTTAAATTGATTTGAGGATCCACTACATGAGTTTTATATATTTTGCTAAAAACACCCAAAACCTATGAAACAAGGATTCATAAACTTTACAATAATTTATTGGTAACAGGGTGACAACAATGGCTAATTTCTTGTGCGGTCTGTTGAATCTTGAGGAATGGGAGTCCTTTCTAAAACGTGTTCTGTAGGTCTATTAACTTTCTAGAATTCTGAATAACTGCCTTTGGTTTGGTCTGTCTGATGCAATATACTTTGGGAAAAATGTTAGAAGTATCTACAAGACTTTAGAAGACTAAATTTAACTAACACTGAATTAGACTTACGCACTTTCAAACTTACCCTGATCATGAACTTCTTGTAGTCAAAGATGTGATCTTGTTACTCCCTTATTGGACAGGGAAAGGAGAGGAGGTACCTGATAAAAATAAACATGAATTTTTTTTAAAATACCTTTGCTTCTTCTTCCCTAGCTGGAGCAATGAAAAGAAAGTGGAGGTAGAGGAAGATGAATTTAAAGTAATAATCTAAAATAATGACACTGGTGGAGATAGTGTTTATGCTGATAATCAAGGAACGACTGACCTAACCATCAGACATTATCTGTCAGTGTCCTGAAAACCCTCATTTTGCTTCTCTTTCCTCACCTTGTCCCCCTGTTACCAATAAACAAACTTTAATGAGGAAGTGAACAGGTTTTGTGACATACAGATTTTGCAGAATTAATGGCATATAATATTAATAGCAGCTGTGTGCTCTATTCACTGGCTTTTTTGCTTGGGTACATTGCAAGATGAAGGGGAAAAAACTGTATCTGTTAAAAGCTGAGATATTTGTATGCACATCTTTGGCTCCATCCTTTATGGAGATGTATCCCTTAACTTCCTGCACAGATGCAGAATAATGCAAAATGAATTAAAATCTCTTTTTGTCTGTCCCATGCAAATACAGGTCACTGCAAGGAGACTTTCATAAAGAAAGTTTCAAGCCCTGACTTTCTCCTCTAAGTTAAGAAATAACTGTTTCTTCCTCTCTGCTTTCTGCTTTTTACGTTTTGTGTTTGCTTTCTTTTTTCTTCTGCTTGCTACGGTACTGGTGCTGAATGTCGATGAGAGGAAAACTTGACTCGCTTCCAGGAAATCATTTTCAGCGATTCCTTTTAGTGCTGTAATTTGCTTTTATTTTCTCAGGTAGTAGAGTGATTAAAGTAGGTGCTCACACAAATACTCAGTTTACATATTGCTGCTAAGCAGAAATACGTGAAACAAGGAAAAAATATCTGAGAGCAAGAAATGCACAAATACTGTCACTGTGTGCGTGAATCCTTGGACTGGCATAAAGAGAATTTCAGTTTGTCAAAGTTTGTTCAGCTCTGAGGCTTCTTTTGCTCTTATTAGTAAGACAAATTCAGGAGTATTACAACTGCCTGTGCAATTTGCCTCCATAACAGATTTCCATCCCCCTTTTTCTTTTTTCTTTTTAGTACCCTCACCCATCTTCCCTCCTTCCTCACCTTTCTTCCACTGATGTGGAGATGTCTGAAGGATTTATAAAGCTTTTCCTGAACCACCACTTAGTCTGACATAGTGACCTAAGTCAATGCTGGCTTCAGTTTGCTTGAACTTGACGATTTGTAAACTGTGATGGCCTAGGAAATACTTAACATGCAATTCAGTGATCTGTCAATGAGGATGGTGACCTCCGCAAGAAGGATGAGGTGGCAATTGGAGTAACGGGTTTGGCTGCTTGAGTTTAATCTCTGTTGGATCAACTCCACAGACCATTTTTGGTAAACATAGTATGATCTGCACTCACGTGAAAGAGAGAAGCTTGTGTTCTAGTTTTAGTGCTATATATGCTGGTGAAGTAGACCCTTAGAGGAGGTACAGTACATGGTGTGTTTCATGGGGTTCATAGAAAGCTTCAGGGAGTCCTATACCTCCTGTCTGAAAGCACCCAGCTGGAAGGTGCTATTGGATGGATTTTTAAGCAAAAAGTGGCAATGTCTTGAAACATGAACTTTTCAAGTGTTTCAAGAATGCTTAGAGTAAGAGCTTTTTGATGGAAATTTTGAGGGTTATCACAAGTCTAACAAAAGTCAATGGAATGCAGAAGATTGGTTTGAAAATATGGTTATAAGCTTGTAGAACTAAGCTTAGATATCCTAGCTGTGTTTTCATTCACACCTGCATTTTATGTCCTTTTTCTGCTGGCCAATCTATACGATAGAGAGGACATGAAATCCATGACAAGAAAAGATCTGGTAATAACATGGCAATTTGTGTCCAAGCTTATTTAGGAAAGTAAATTCTTTAGGTACAAGCATGTGTTAAAGCTGGCAGGTTTTCTGTGAAATAGGAATATGGAATAAAGGTACATGAAATGTACCTAAATCAGAATTTCCTGATGTCATTATATTCTATTAACCAAATATGTGGTGGTTTGCAGCATTTCCATGAGATACATGATTCATATAGAAAATTGAAAGATCCTGAATTATGTATCTGTAAAGTTAGACCTTTATGTTGGAGGAGAAGTTAGTCATTCAGAAGGCCGCAAAAAGAAAAAGCTGTAGGAGCCCTGGCAGCTAAATGTGCAGCTAAGCTCTTTGTTCTGAGGAGGGTCCTGTTAATTTTCTTGAGGACCCTTATGGGCTACACAGTGTATCCATGCAGACTGAACTAGAGACTTGGGAAATAATCTAACAGGAATTGATAAATCTGTGCATTAGCAGTATATAGAATGCCAGCCATTGAAACAGATGAACTGCTGAAAGCAGTTGCAGCTTTTCAAAAGTGTTCCATGTAAAATACTGTTAAGAAACCTTTTCAATAAACACTTTTTGGGCAAATGGTATTAGGAGAGTAGTGTTCCAGGATTTTTATTTGAATCAGTAGATTATATATCCATGAGAAGCTGGAAATTTGTGTTATTTGTGGGCAGTGGTTGTAACGGATATTCTGCTCCATGCATTTTCTAAATGTGGTCCTCAACTAGCAGTCACAGTAAACCAATATGAAATGGCATCAAATCTTACAGGTTTGGCAGTAGCAGAGTACATTTCTTGGGCTTTGGATCAAACCTCCAAAGTAACGTCGTCTTGACTGTGATTTGTGGTTACCAAATTCATAAACAATTTTATTTTCCTTTTGACTGTTCCGAGTCTGTCATGTTCGGGCAAATTTAACCTGTCACGAATCCCCAGCTGGAGTTGGACAAATGTTTTATCAGCATATTCAGTGTAATAGATTAATCACATGAATGATGATAATACACCCAGTTCAGGTTGTGTATGAATTCAGAACATTTTGGAGGTTGCTTCACATTGATCCTTGTTTCAATAGAATAAAAAACAACAAAAACCCCCCATTGAGCGGGAGAGAAAAATACATCATGTACATACTAAGTGCAGTGACAATTGAGAAAAACAGGGAAAATACAATCATTGCATTAAGATACCTGTGCTAAACATTACAAAAAATATACTTTTGTTTTTAGGTTTGATATGAGCCAGGGCTTGTTCTTCAAAACTAGGTTTGTTATAGTGAGTTTTGACCTTTTTTTTTTTTTAATATTGTATTAGGAATTTGAACAGAATTGCAAACTTTTATTTCCATGACATCGTGCTGTTGGCTTTTAAATGTGTAATATGTCTCTGTACTCTTGAGTTAAGAGGAACTGTGTTGATTGTGGGTGCTGCAATCACTAAGAAGTAATAAGCCACTCTATTTTAAATGACTGTGTGAAAGCAGTTCACATGTTAATTTTAGTTTTCCTGCAGCACTGTGTTTTGACATTTGAATGACCTTCAGGCTCTCACCACTGCACCGCTAGGGCTTGATTGTCTGTAAACAGCTGGTAAATACAAAATTTGATTGCGAATGTTTGGGTATTTCTCTTCTTTCTCAAATGCATTCTGATACTGTGAATCTTTTTTTTTTTTTATTTTGAGATAAGATTATTTAAAAAAAAAATGGTTGGAAGACATCTCAAAGTATTGAATAATCTGTCCCACACTACAAGGCACAACCACAGTATTCTCGACCAATAAAAATGTAGTCTGTTCTTAAAAACCTCCAATGTTAAAGTTACACATTTCTTGATTACTGGAGCCGTAAGTTATTTTGATAAATAACTTAAAACTAATTTCTTGCCTCCAAAATGAAAATAAGACTGTGTTCGTGTAATCCCCAAGGAGGGGAAATATTTTAATCAAAAGAAAGTGTGTAGGTGTGAATGTGTGTACAAATGAAGATGAAGTCATAGACCTTGGTTTGTGAGGTGCTTACTGTTTTTATTGGCCTACAGGTATTATGGAAAGTTTTCTAACAGATGTAGAAGTAAACAGATCCTAATTTAAAATGAACTATGCTTAGTTTATTTAAATAGAGTGGCAGCTCCATTGCTCATTGCGCGGTACATTGTATTCCTTCTGCTTCTAGCTGTGCTGGGGTGCTTTGTGCGTGACTGGCAGAAAGCCCATTCTACTCCGTCTCTGAGATAAGGTGCCTTTGCCCCACATCTTTCGCGAACGCTTCTTGCAGTCAGGAGCACTGCACTTTGTGATCCAGTAGATGCTTTCTAGCCCTAAATGCGCATGTTTCTAACTGTGAAGTAATTTTTATTTCGACAGAAAGCCTACATTAAAATAAACATAATAGGATGATATGGACATCACATACCTGATAACATCACCTTTCTGAAATAAAGGACTGACAGCTAATCACGTTTGCATTGAAGAGGTCTCAGACGCTAATACAGGGAAGGGTGCTGCACTGCATTTTTTAAATAGCCAAGGGCAGAGATCTTTCAGTTATCAAGTATGTTAAAAGTCATTCTTCTGAGAGTGCTTCAATTTCTTGGGCTGAGTACAAAGCAGCTTTGTATGTGGAAATCCATGGTGTAGCTATTTCTGTGAACATTTGCAAACTGTGATGTCTAACTGAATATTCAGGCTTTTGGTGAAATTCTGCTGAAGTTAATGATTACTTTTTGTTGGTGCTATAGGACATGTTTCTGCATAGTTAAGCAGTTCTTATTAGTCTGATTTGGAGAACATAACAAGCAGCAATTAAAGATATGTAATTCTTCCATTTTTATGTGAGGTAGGCATCAGATACCAGTAACTTACACCTATTTATATATGACATTTGCTTTATCCAAGAAAAAAAAAAAATTAAAACATGGCAGTGTCTATGCAGTAAGTACCGCCAATGGCATACATGATTTTGGATCAAAATGAGCACTTGATATTAGCAATTCCAAATGCTAATCCTTGGGATTGTGTCTAATACAAGTCTGTGAAAATCTGAAGAGACTTTATTGGCAACAGATTTAGAGTAGTCCTGAGTTTTGAACATAACCTTAGAAAACGCGTTAATCAATATCCCACTATTAGTTTTCACTTAAATGTGACAGAAATGGATAGTTATTCCAATGCCATATATTCTTAATAAATACAATTTCTTTCTTCAGAGCAATTAGAGAAGAAGTAATTATTCACAGATCAGTGATGAGCAAGACTGCATGTGGTTTTTTACTCTTTTCTAAATTGGGAGTGGATTTTATGTATATAAGGGCAAAGAATGAGCAACTTTCTCTTTAAAGATGACACAAATCCAGATGCTGCAAATCATTATATATGAGTGATATTTGCTTGTCTGAGCAGCTATGTTTAGAAGTCTCATGGGTTATTGGTATCAGAAAGTGCAAGTTTAGCTCATGATTTTTGTGATACGCCCAAAATAATTTTTTCTGTGATACATCTGTACTGTATCTTACCATGCAAAATTCTGTACTGTTCTAATTAGATTCTTAGCGTAAGCAAGCAAAATACTCTCTTTAACAGTGTTGCAATGATGTACCCAAATGGGAACTGGTGTATTATAGTGAATTTCATGTTACCTTTTCCTCTTAAATTGAGGTTGAATTTGTATTTATAGAGGTGGAAAGCTAGTATACCAGCCCAGTGGTAGTCATTAATGCAGTCCTTAAACGTGAATAAAAAAAACAGGCCGGAGGATCTGTGTTTTCACAAAGAGGTGCTGTAAATGATTAGTGTGATGCATTCAAAGAACAAAAAACTCTGCTCATTGCAAATGGTCTATTTTTTTATTTCTTGGCTCTATATTTGAACTGCCAAGAAAGGAATATTACAAAGCACAAAGACAACGATGCACATCTCAGTCATGCATTTATTTCCTTTTCCTGTTTTGTGTCAGACTAATGTATGTGGCAAAGGCCAGCACCTCTTTGACTGGGATATCTGCAGTTACTTGTTTAATCTCAGTTATGATTTAAATAGAAATGTAATTGTTTTCAAAGTATGTCCTAAGTTTCTCCTTCAGAATGTCTAGCACTGTCTACAAACGTATAAAGGAGTTATAAATCCTATCATTTTTGAAATTTAGTTAATCTGATTTGGAACTCTGAGTCCAATACATGTAAATTTCTCATTTTTAATTTATGTTAGAAATGCTTCCCTTTTCAGTAGGATAGTCTTTTCTTGCATGGAGACAACACAAAAAAAAGCTTTCCTGAGACAGCCAGTTTAAGTAGCTGCTTGGATAATTTCATCAGCAGTAAATCTTAGTGGTATTTGAAGTTGTGCTAACATTTCATAAAATGTAGTAAAGCATAATTTTGTTCCCTTAAAATAATATTTTTTAAAAATGCTTAAAAAAATCACAAATGCTGCCACAAAATTATAGCCAAAAAACTGCATGAAAGAATGTGCTGTAATTTCCAACAGAAACTCATAAATGGAATTATCCTTTAGAAAGGAAAAAACCAGACCCACTGCTGAGGTTGTATAAAATATCTATAGAACTGCCAAACATATTTATATTCCATAAACTTGAAGACTTGTAGCACTACAGCAGTAGTCCAGTCTTAATTCCAGTGACCAAAATCCCTTTGATTTAAATGAGGCTTGTTATGTGTTGAAAGTTTATTAAGTGCATATGTGACCATGAAATTCTGATTACAGTGACCTAAACCTGTGGCACCTGTGCAACTTGTGCTACCTTTAGTTGTTAATGAAATGTTGCAGATTTCATTTATTAAAACTAAATGGATGTATACAGTAATGACCATGGAGTAGTAATTGTAACTATTTTGATGATAATACGTTAGGGGCCATTATGGAGGGAAAATGCTGTTTCATATGGTTTGATATATATATATTTTTGGACACTTTAATGAGTAGTCTGGTTCTGTTTCTTTTTTAGATCTTTATTTAATACACTGGCCTGATGCACATGTTCCAGGTAAAAGCAATCGAGAGGTCCGAGCTGAAACCTGGAGAGCGATGGAGGAGCTCTATGAGAAAGGTGATATAATAATGAAAACCTATCTTGGCAGAAGGAATTATAGTGTATTTTGGGATTTGGGGAATTCCTGGTGAGACATGTTCAAAAACTTAATTTGAACTTAATTTGATGCTCATATTTCAGTGGGATTTGGGGGTGTGAGTTATGTGAATCTCTTTGGAAATCGCAGCATTAGCATTCTGGTAAATTAAATAAGAGAGCTTTGTGTTGCTTGTAAATAATATATTGACAAATTCTGCCTGTGAGATTAATGATGGTGTGCATACTTTCTTGAGGAAATCTACAGATTACATTGAAATGTATATGCCACTATAGAACATCTTTGTAGTAGCCTTCTCCATTTTAAGTATAAATCATGCTAAGTTTTACTTCCTTTGTTTTTTTTTAATTGTATGTTGCCATTTTCCGATTTATCATATATTGTGGTACTTTATAGATCCATTTGTGTTTTAGAAAAGGTCAACAAAACAAAATGCCTAGATGAGGAACAAATACTCAACTGCAGATTCTTTGGTACTAACTTTTGGAAAAAAAAAATTCAAAGAAGGGAGCTATTCTCTCAGATTCTGATAACTGTCAATTTGATTTTTGGTGCACTGCAAACTTCAGTGTACGTTCATAGCAATAGGAAGAGTAGACTGTCCCAATCAAAATTTATCATGTAGATTTAAGAGGAGGATTTTGCTCCTGAAGTATGCAGTATTATTAGAAATAGTGTCGTAAGAGAAGATCCTGTCATGCTATTCTTGGGCAATGTGGACCACCCTGTTTACAGCTTCAGAGAAGTTCCACAGACACGGAGAAGACTTCTTGGATTAAGTAGTCTATCCACTAACCCAGAGTCACTGAAATAGTGATTGTAGCAGGAGAGTTGTACAAAGGCAGTCACAGGCTGTGTGCTGCTACCAATTTTATCAGAGCAATAAATAAACCTATTCTCTTACACTTCAACCCTTCAGTTACTTTTGGTCTGCCTCTGGAAACACAGAAGTAAATTATCTTTGATACATCTTTTGTTCTTGCTTTTTATATTAAGCATAAGGGAAGTTGCAAAAAGTGTTTTCTGCCATGTCAGGGATTACAACATTCAGTTTTTAAAGTAACACTACACCGACCTAGTATTTCAAAGCATCAATGACTTTAAAGATGGATTACTCGACAAGGTACTTCATCTTTCCATTGAGAAGTTTTTTTTTCAGATGAGTATTTAAGTTAGTGCATGTCATTTGTGCCTAGATATGCCATACTAATTTGCTGCAAACAGGTTGTGTTTTCACCGTCTATTATTATTCCTGTCCCATTGGCTTTATTCTGCGTTTGCATGTTTATTTGTAATCTTTCCTGTCTTACACAACTCTTTCTTTCTCTCTGTATCTTCCTAGTGGGAAAGACTGTGGGCTATTCAGTGGTCTTCCAGTAAGACACTGGAAATACCATCACTGGCCTCATAAGCAGAGGAAAAATTACTTTTATTTTTTGTTCCTATGTGTGATACCTCTTTACAGACATCATGTTATATTTATTTTTCCTGCAATTGCATTTCTTCAACAGTTTTGTCAATTTGCACATTGCTACCCTCAGTCTTTTTCTGAATTTAAGCATTCTATAGACTTGTGATTCATTTAGCTGAGCGTAAGTTTTCCAGCTCTGGTTGTCTAAATTACCTCCGTTAGATAATCTACAGGGGAAGGAAAATTTATTAGTCTGGTCGAATCAAGTGCCTTAGAACATAAACCTCCCCATGTTTGCTTTAGGGGATACAGACTCTAGATGTCCTGACCATAACTATGTGTTACTGAAATGACACACAACTGTTAACCACTCTGGACATGGAAATGCAATGATTCCTGAGGAAAATGTTAAATAATTTGTTTGCATGGTTAACCACTAGACTTTCCACTGAAGATTAAACACTTGCTGCATATCTTTATGTGACTTGCTATGTGTTATGTGAGCAACATGTTAGCCTTGGTATGAATTGAATATAGGATTTTGTCAAAATCCTTACTTGAGGAAAAAAAAATCATCTTCATTTATTGGGGGAAAAATTGTAAGTTCTATGCTAAACAGGTGAGTTCTTTGTCTTCTCTGAACTTGACATTGGTTCAGGTAGTCATTGGTTCCTGTTTGCAAGGAATGTTTATTCTGGGGGAAAAAAAAAATAGCAAAAACTAGAAGCTTCACATTTAAGGATTGACCATTTAAACAAATAATATGTTTCTGCAGTCAATTCACAAAGGAAATATTGAAATTATTCAACTTGCTAGTGCGTTTAGCAACTAGCTCTGTCCACATTGAAGAGTGGCTGAAAGTGCAATGACAATAAACACTGTTCTCTGTAGAAAAAAAATTATTTTGTGTTATGGGACTGATAATGTATATCTATCTGCAAGAGACTTATGAGATGGTTACAAGATCTCGATATTGACCTAAGTCTTTGGTCTGACTGAAGTTAACAAGACTTTTTTTTTTTTATCACATCTCTCTATTCACAGATCATTTGAGTGCAGATATTTGAATATCTCATTCTTACCACTTCAGTTTAAATCCAGGTTAAAATCTGTTCTGCAAAATTCCACTTACCTGGGGCAAGCAACATTTTAAAATAATGTAAATTATTAATAGTCTTTTTTATTGTTATTACCGATTGCCCTGGGAGGAGGGTAAATAAACTATTAGTACCCAAGACTGTAAAAGTCTTTAATGCAGATTTTTTTAAGATTGTGTTAAGTTTTAGATTGGTCACAATGGTCACAAGTTGACGCAAGAAAAATCCCAATGCATCTACATTCATAGCTTTGAGAGAATTTTTTTTAGGTCATGTCTACAAAGATAGATTCAACCAGGTTCATCTGAGAGCCAGCACATAGCAGCTGAGACACAGGGCTGCAGGAGCACAACTTGCAGGGCTTCTGGCCTGAAATGTCTTCTCACCCAGCTGAGGAGAGACCAGAGGTTCTGGGTCTGTGCCCCTGTCCAGGTCAGCATGCACTAATTTATAAGACTCTGCCCCCAGATAATAAAAATGTGACAGGTTAAAAAAAAAAAACCTGAATTTTTTGTCAAAATTATTAAAATAAATATTTTAGGGAGCACAAAACTTGCATAAAAAGTTAAACAAAACTCCTCAGATTATAATAAATCCAAATTTAGTATACTTGTAACTACCTCTGGCTGTAGAAGAACTAGGAGGTCTATTGTTATTTGAATGCAGCATGTGCCAATGAAATTGGTGTGTAGACTGATAGATGTGCATTCATGGAGATGTGTGGGCATCCTTAAGTTTACTGTTTCTTAATTCTTGACTGCTTAGTAGTGCTTCCTATATATACTCGTAATGAAGGTGTGGAGTTGAGCTGTAACATCAGAATATTCTCCTAAATAGAAAACAACAGATTCAGGTGACGAGAAAGATCCTTTGCTATCACTGAAAAATCCCCCCTGTGGCTTACCACTATACTGTTTTTTGTATTTCATCAAAAGGAATTTGAGGTTAAAATTTTTCAAAAGAATCTCTTGTCTTGATATGATTTGAACTGGAAACACGAACAATTTAAAATGAGAATCTGAATAGTATTTGTTAGAGATCTGGTTACCCTCTCCAGTTGATTACTTACCATACTGAAGTTTTGGGCTGCACTCCTTGGATCCAATGTGCTTTATATCTTTGGAAACTAAACAGAATCTGGTTACTGCCCCAAGGCTGGGGTCTCAGGAACACACTTGAAAGAGGGTTTCATATTTTAGCACTCTCACCCTCGTGCTTGAATCCACTGTTCAACTGCCTAATGCAACTAAGCAGCTATCTCTAGATCTCACTTCAGGTTAAAAACAATTTCCCAGAATCCTGGGCATTTTTCTTGAGATTTTTTGGGAGGGAGGCCATGACAGATATGAGAGCATGCCCAAAAACACTCGTAGGGATTCTGAAGCCACTGTTGTCCTTACTGTAACAGTATGAGATAATACATTTATTATCTATGTTAAAATAACACACCCCAAAAGTTTTACCCACTTCAGGTGTTTTAATCCCTCTGGGTTGTGTCTGGAACATGGTCCTGTGTCTTTCTGGTTTGTCCTTGAGCTACAGAGTCTTTGGCTAAACATGCTTATCCTTTATTTTCTCCTGGCTAAATCCTTCAGTATGTTTCTTAGAGTCCATTAAAAGTCCTACCAGCATCTTTCCCTCTTTAACCTGAAATCTGTGTATTTTTACCCTCTATCCTCTCTCCCCTACAAACAAGGCAAGGTTATACTTTCAGTTTGGTTTTTTA